CTCCTTTACCGCCTGTGCCTCCCTCTCCTCCGGGCCCTGCTGGTCCGAGCCGCGGTGCCGCGGGTGTTTTTGGCTCGGAACGGGATTTGCAGCCCCCGCTGACCGWTCCGTGCCTCTTTCCCACAGCCGAGGTGGTTCGGTGCCTCAACAGCGCGCTCCAGGTGGGCTGCGGAGCCTTCGCCTGCCTGGAGAACTCCACGTGCGACACGGACGGGATGTACGAGATCTGCAAATCCTTCCTGTACAGCGCAGCCAAGTTCGACACGCAGGTACGGCCCGGGGAGAGGGATCGGGGCAATGGGGACGGGGGAAAAGGGATAGGGGAAATGCGGGATAGGGGAAAAAATGAGGGACAGGGGAAAATGAGGGACAGGGGAAAAAGTCCGGCCGGGGAGAAATCCGGGACAGGGGGAAACCCGGGACAGGGACAAACCCGTGACAGGAGAAAATGTGGCCGGGGATAAAACCCAGGACAGGGATAAAACCGGGGACAGGGGCAAATCCGGGCCAGGGGAAAATCCGGGATAGGGGAAACACGGGACAGGGGAAATGGGGCCGGGAAAAAACACGGGACAGGGGAAAATCCGGGACAGGGGAAAACCTGGGATAGAGGAATTGCGGGACAGGGAGAAACCCGGGAAAGGGAGAAAACCTGGCCTGGGATAAAACCCGGGACAGGGGCAAATCCGGGACAGGGGCAAACCCGGCCGGAGAGAAACCGGGATAGGGCCAAACCCGGGCCAGGGAAAAACCTGACCAGGGACAAACGTAGCCAGGAAGAAAACGCGGGACAGGGGAAAATCCGACCGGGGAGAAAACCCAAACCAGAGAAAAACCCCAACCAGGGAGAAATCCCGGGACAGGGGCAAACCCGGCCCAGGGAGAAACCCCGGGCCAGGGAGAAAACCGAGCCAGGGGCAAAACTGTCCCGGGAGAAACCCCCAGCCAGGCAGAAAACCCGGCCGAGAATCAATCGGAGCCGCCTTTTAGTGCCCCGGACCAGTCGTGCGGGTTCTAAACCCGCGCTGAGCGCTCTGCTCTTCATTTGAGCCGCGCTTAGGTCAGGATTAACCCTTCCCTCCCTGCAGCCCTTCCTGCCGCTGAGCTGCTCCTCCCAGCCCCGATTTTTGGCTCCAAACTCATCCTCCGGGGCTGTTTCTCCGTGTGAGGACTTGGCAAGGAGGGCTCTGTGGGGCGGGGAGAGAGATTTCCTCACCAGGAGAAAATAGAAAAGTTCTTAAAAAAAAAAATAAACCCGGGCCTGGCACGGGACTGGCCCGGGAGAGCTGCGAGTGTTTGGGAAAACGCGGCCAGACCGGGGTTGGAATAAATTGGATCATTTTGGAGGGTTGTGACCCTGCCAAAATCCCTTTTTTCTCCCAAAATTCACACAGCTCCCCATTCCCTGCGCGTCTCCCCACCGAGGAGAAATTTAAAAGCTCTCAAAGGTTCTCGAGGTTGGAAACTGAGGAGTAAAATTTGTGGCATGAAATCGATTTTAATTGATCCGTGCGGGGCAGAATTGGCGTTTCCAGGTTCGAGATTTTCCAAATATTTTGGGAATCGGAGCTCCGGGCTGCGGGCATCCCGACAGCTGGGAGAGACAAATCTGCAATAATCCGGTTCTGGGCATTTCCCTGGAATTCCGATGCAATTCAGGGCATTTCCTTGGAATTCCGGCACAGTCCCAGGCGTTTTCCTTCCAAGCTTCCCCTCCTGTCAGATTTCCTGGAATTCCAGTGCCATTCAAGTGATTTACCTGGAATTCTGGTGCATCCCTGGAATTCTGGTCCCGTTAAAGGCATTTCCCTGGAATTCCGATGCAATTCAGGGCATTTCCTTGGAATTCCGGCACAGTCCCAGGCGTTTTCCTTCCAAGCTTCCCCTCCTGTCAGATTTCCTGGAATTCCAGTGCCATTCAAGTGATTTACCTGGAATTCTGGTGCATCCCTGGAATTCCGGTGCCATTCAAAATATTTCCCTGGAATTTCAGCACAGTCCAAGGCATTTCTCTGGAATTCAAGGGGTTTCCCTGGAATTCCAGTGCCATTCAAGGCATTTCCCTGCAATTCCAATGCAATCCAAAACATTTCCCTGGAATTCCTTCACAACCCAAGCCATTTTTCCTTAATTCCAGCACAGCCCAAGGCATTTCCCTGGAATTCTGACGCTTCCCTGTAATTCCAATGCAATCCAAAACATTTCCCTGCAATTCCAACGCAATCCAAAACGTTTCCCCAGAATTCCTTCACAACCCAAGACATTTCCCTGGAATTCCTTCACAGCCCAAGGCATTTCCCTGGGATTCTGATGCTTCCTTGTAATTCCAACGCAATCCAAAACATTTCCCTTCAATTCCAACACAATCCAAGACATTTCCCTGGAATTCCTTCACAACCCAAGGCATTTCCCTGGAATTCCAGCACAGTCCAAGGCATTTCTCTGGGATTCTGATGCTTCCTTGTAATTCCAATGCAATCCAAAACATTTCCCTGGAATTCTGTCATTTCCCTGTAGTCCCAATGCAATCCAAAACATTTCCCTGGAATTCCAATGCAATCCAAAGCATTTCCCTTCAATTCCAACACAATCCAAGCCATTTCCCCGGAATTCCAGCCCAACCCAAGACATTTCCCTGGAATTCCTTCACAACCCAAGCCATTTCCCCGGAATTCCAGCCCAACCCAAGACATTTCCCCGGAATTCCAGCACAGTCCAAGGCATTTCTCTGGGATTCTGATGCTTCCTTGTAATCCCAATGCAATCCAAAACATTTCCCTGGAATTCCAATTCAATCCAAGACATTTCCCTGGAATTCCTTCACAACCCTGTAATTCCAGCATTTCCCCGTAATTCCAGCATTTCCCTGGAATTCTAATGCTTCCCTGTAATTCCAATGCAATCCAAAACATTTCCCTGGAATTCTGTCATTTCCCTGTAATTCCAACGCAATCCAAAGCATTTCCCTTCAATTCCAACACAATTCAATCCATTTTCCCGTAATTCCAGCACAGCCCAAGACATTTCCCTGGAATTCTGATGCTTCCCTTCAATTCCTTCACAACCCAAGCCATTTCCCTGCAATTCCAGTACAACCCAAGCCATTTCCTCATAATCCCAGCCCAACCCAAGCCATTTCCCTGGAATTCCAGCCCAACCCAAACCATTCCCCTCCACTCCCAGGGCAAAGCCTTCGTGAAGGAGAGCCTGAAGTGCATCGCCAACGGGGTGACGTCCAAGGTGTTCCTGACCATCCGCCGCTGCTCCACCTTCCAGAGGATGATCTCGGACGTGCAGGACGAGTGCTACACCAAACTGGAGCTGTGCGCCATCGCCCGCCGCAACCCCGAGGCCATCACCGAGGTGGTGCAGCTCCCCGGACAGTTCTCCAACCGGTACGAGGGGGTTTTTCCTGTTGGGAATATYGGGAATGGGGATTTCGGGGTGGGAAGGAGAGGTTTGGAAGTTGTAAAAGAGCTCGAGTTAGTGGAGGTCTCTGCCTTGTCAAAGCTCGGCATTGTCCCTTTTCTTTTTGGGAAATATATTTATTTCTCTTTTTGGAGACACATTTATTTCTCTTTTTGGAGACACATTTATTTCTCTTTTTGGGGAATACATTTCTCTTTTTTTTGGGAAATACATTTATTTCTTTTATTTGGAATACATTTATTTGTCCTTTTGGAGAATACATTTATTTCTCTTTTTCATATACATTTATTTCTCTTTTTGGAAAATACGTTTATTTTCCTTTTTGGGAAATACACTTATTTCTCTTATTTGGAATACATTTATTTCTCTTTTTCGGATACATTTATTTCTCTTTTTGGGGAATACATTTATTTTTATTTTTGGGGAAATACACTTATTTTTCATATTCAGATACATTTATTTCTCCTGTATTTTTTTTTTTTGGGGGGGGGAAACACACTTCTTTCTCTTGTTTGCAATCAGAGTGCCCTGTCCCCATCCTCCAAGGACAGGGGACACGGGGAGGCTCCGGGGACAGTCACAGGGATGCATCACAGGGACATTTTCCTGCAAATCCCGGAACAATCCGTGCTGGCTCTTGTGATCGGGATCAAAGGGACCTTTCAGAGTAAATGTTCACTGGCTGGGCTGGGATCAGGGAATTCAGCACCTTTGGGGTGGATTTTATGGGATCCAGAGCATCTCAAACCTCCAGAGCCATCCTAGGACAGGTGATAAAAAAATTTATTGAGAGAATCGCAGAATATCCAGAGCTGGAAGGGACTCATGAGGATCATTGAGATCCATCTCCTGTTGTGGACTGAGAAATTTTTATTTTGTACGTGCAGCAAATTGCAAATGTGGGGAGGCAAAATTATACTGGGGAGGATAAAAATGAAACTTTTGTGTCTTTCCCCCTCTTCTCCCAAACAAGAACAGGTTTGGGATTTGGAGTTTGGAATTTGGAGTTTGGAATTTGGGATTTGGGATTTGGGATTTGGAGTTTGGAGTTTGAGATTTGGAATTTGGAGTTTGGGATTTGGAGTTTGGAGTTTGGAGTTTGGGATTTGGAGTTTGGAATTTGGAATTTGGAGTTTGGGATTTGGAATTTGGAATTTAGAGTCTGGAATTTGGGATTTGGAGTTTGGGATTAGGTATTTGGAGCTTGGAGTTTGGAATTTCGAGTTTGGGATTTGGAGTTTGGAATTTGGAGTCTGGAGTTTGGGATTTGGAATTTGGAGTTTGAAATTTGGGATTTGGGATTTGGAGTTTGGAGTCTGGAGTTTGGGATTTGGAGTTTGGAGTTTGGGATTTGGAGTTTGGAATTTGGAGTTTGGAATTTGGGATTTGGAGTTCAGCGGAGGTTTCCCTGAGGACTGGGAGAGGAACAGGCAGCTCTGTGGCATTCCCGGGTTAAATTGACGGATTTTGGACCTTGGAGGGGACAAAGAGGGGACATGGGGACACTCGGGCAGTGCTGGGGATGCTCCTCTGAGAGCCCCGAGCAGGAGGATATTGTGATACAAAAGCAGCAGGAATTCCCAGCTCCCGAGGCTCCCGGCGCATCCTGCTTTCCCAGCTTTCCCTTCCTTCCCATTTTCCCAGCCGCGGAATCGGAATGCGCCGCTTGGCCCGCGCTGCCGACGGGAAGTAGTTAAAGGTCATTGCATCTTCCTGCGATTTAATCTCGGGGCAGCAGCGGCAGCGCAGGAAAAAAAAAAACCTCTGCTGACAGCCCGAGCTCCGGGGGAGCGTCCGGGGCAGCTCCAGCCGGGGGAACCGC